AACCCACCCCTATGAAAGTCTGAAAGTAAACCTCCGCAACCTCAAGGATCACCAAAGCTTTGCCTTCAAGGCCCATTCTGGGTGGCCCTGGCCACTGTTTCTGACAAATGTTCTTCCCAGAGATTGCCTTCTCAGAGATTGCCTAATTTAAGCAATGAATTACTTGATTTAAAAAAGAGTGCTGTACAAAAATAAAAGAATGCTGCTTTTGCTTCTGCGGGTGCTGCATAGAGCTGATGATAAAACTTCTAGACCACTAAGGGAAAAAACCATGAAGTGACCTAACACACTTCCAAACAAGTGTGGCTGCCAGATGCCTGCAGCTCTAAAGGGAGGCAAGAGCCCGATCTTCCTCACCACAGATTTAGACAGAGAGGCTACAGGATTTCTCCCCCTAGGATCCCAAACTATATACATTCTCACTGAAATTAATATTCCAACCAGTGTTGTCTGTCAAATCGGGAGGATCTCAGAAGCACCATTTCTCTGACTTTAAGATGCAGATGAAGGGTCAGCGATAGTTGAATTTTCTGGTGAAAGGTGCTCTGGGTCTGTGGAGGCACTGCTGTTGACAAAGCAGGCACCAGTCACCTTTGTGCAGGTAAGAACCGTCTGCTTATGCTCGATTTTGGAACTGAATGCTTCCTGAGATATGTTTGCCTAGCTCGGATACTTAAAAATGCAAACATACACAATGTAGAATATGAAAACACCAACTTTCCCTCCCAACTTATGTGATATTTTACAAATAACATCTATATACCCTTTATTTAGTCTACCGGGGTAGGATTTCACTGCAATAATATTTCAGGGGAAGGGAGACCACACATTTGCACATTATATAGCTTCACACACAGAGGACAGAGAGAGAGGAAGAGAGAGAGAATGACAGGCCAAAAGGGCACAAACTACAGGCAAAGTATACATGGGAGTTCCTGTAACTTTAGAAATTACAATATAGGGATGCCTGGGTGGCTCAGTGGTTAAGCGTCTGCTTTTGGCTCAAGCGTGATCCTGGGGTCCTGAGATGGAGTCTTGCATCAGACTTCCCATGGGGCACCTGCTTCTCCCTCTACCTATGTCTCTGCCTCTCTCTGTGTCTCATGAATAAATAAATAAAACCTTAAAAAAAAAAGAAATTACAATATAGTCAGGAAAAAATCTTCCACTATTTCTAGGCAGAAAGGTTTTTTTTTTTTTTTTTTTTTTTGGTTGAAATAAACAACAGTAGAACAAGCAGTTGTTCATCTCGTTCTTTCCAAGACCAGTTCTGGCTCATTCTTTCTGTAACAGCAACAGTTACCCAGAGGTGAAGGTCTGAGTTCGTGATATGCAGCTGAGACTAGAGCATCAAGTGCCTTTTTTTGCTCTGCCTCTATTTGCAGAAAAATTCCAGAAAACAATCTTGATTTGGTGGCTAACCTGTTTCCAAACGGACATTCTTTTATCTGCTCAAGAAAAGTGTGTGAGGAAAAAAAAAAGAAAGAAAAGTGTGTGAGAGAGGAAAGGTGGGCAATCGCTTCCAGCTTAAAGTATTAACCTTCCTAAAGTTCTATGTCCGTTTTCATCATCTACTTCTAAGGGTCAAAGTTCACTAAGAAGGACAAAAAAAAATGTGTATTCCACCTCACCATGTTGGTCAGTAAATACCCACTTTTCACAATATTATCAAGACATCACATCTTGTTGCATCGAAAATCTTTAAAAAAAAATGAGGCACCAAAAAAAAAAAAAGAGGCACCAAAAATCAGTAAATAAACTTCAGATTAGTCATTAAACTGATTCACTCTGAGGAAGAGTAAAGACCAGGATTTGGTCTTCTCACACCTTCTGTAAGCACTGGCTCTCCCAAGTAAGGGTAGGAGGGGGAATTCTATGGATTTAAAAGCAGGTGACCCTAGTCACAACAGCCACACTTTCACTGCATAATTCAGGGGCTCGCTGGGATGCAGAATCAGTAAATCTTTCAGTCATTCATAAAAGCCTGATGGACTCCAGAGATGAGGCTACCCTTCTTTGAAGAAATCCCCTACAGAGAACAATTATACATGGGACCATGGGAAGGTGAGCAGTTTGAAAATTTTTCAAAATACTGACAAGCCACCTGAGATAAGCAAGCACACTAGTTCACAGCCATTTTATCACCCAGATCACATCTTCTAGCTACATACTAGAAAAAAGGCTTTTTGAGAAGAAGCATCAGCAGGCCACATCTGAGGACAAAAAAGGAGCCAACTCTAAGGCAGCCCACAGGAAGTATGAGTCAGAGACACTGATTAGCTTCCTAGGAAGGGCCTGGGTGCTTGCCTTTGGGACAGCAACAAAAAACAGACTTGTCAGGGAAGTCAGACACACTCTGCTGATGGAGGTGAGGGGTCAGCCGAAAGGCCTTCTGTAGAAAGAAGGCTGAGGCCTGGGAGGGAGCCTTTGTAAAGGCCTCTGACTTCCTGGCAGACCACAAGAACTCCAAAATTTTAAGTAACTGGCAGAAGAAATAGCATTTTCCCTGAAGTCTTCATCTTATTGTCACAGGGGTAGGGATGCAGGGATGGGAGGCAGTATCTATGTCTGTGCTCATCGCCGTGTCCCCAGCCCAACCCTGGACACAAATGTATGTACTTGTACCTCGTCTCCCCTCATTTACATGCAAGTGTCATGGGAGCAGGAATTTGGCCACCACTGCATCTCCACAAGCAGAACAGGGCTAGCTTCATGTCACATCGGGGTCACGGTAAAAAAAAAAAAAAAAAAAAAAAAAAAAGGTTTTGGGGTAGCACACAGCAGGTGCTCAATACGTGTTCATGGAGTGAATGGAACCAAGAATGAATGAGAAGCCTGTTTGCACTACTTGTCCCATCTCCCCCTACTTCAGAGATATTGGTAGGTAGAACAGAATTCCAAAATGGAACACCAAACCATTAAGAAAGCAAAGCTGGCAACACTGGAACACTTGCTAAGGGGATACTGACATTAACAAGGAGGAAACCTGATTCCCCACAACTGCATACACACACAGATGACTGAAATGCTAAGTATTCAAGCTCTCCCTGAATCCATACCCCAGTGTGACCAATTACAAGAAGTAAGCTGTGAATACTGAACTCCTAATTCTCTAACAGGGACTCTCAACTGAGGTCAGGCCATGGGCAGGTTTCAGGGCTGCTTATTATATACAGAGAAAATACTTAGAAACCACATGTCTGACAAAGGACTAGTATCTGAACTATATAAAGAACTCTCAAAACTCAACATCAAAAAACCCCAAATAATACCATGAGAACGTGGGCAAAAAGGTGGACATTTCACTGAGGAGAATATACATGTGGCAAAAAAGTACAAGAAAAGATCCTCAACATCATTTGCTGTTATGGAAAAGCAAATCAGAAAATGAGACAGCACTGCTCATATTTATCAGGATGGCCACAGTGAAGAACAGCAATAACACCAAATGCCAGCAAAGACAAAAAAGGAACTGGATCACTCAAACATTACCAGTGGGAATGTAAAATGGTACAGCCACCTGGAAAAAGACTTAGGCAGCTTCTTTAAAAAGAAAGAAAAAAGTTGAGGCTACCATATGACCCAGCAATTGTACTCTTAGAGATTTATCCCAGAGAGATAAAAACTTAAGTTCGCGCAAAACTCTGTATATGAATGTTCACAGCAGCTTTATTTGTAACAGCCCGCTAAACTGTGGTCTATCCATACCCACAGAATATTTTCCAGGCATAAAAAGGACCTATTGACACACAATAGCTCAGATGAATTTCCAGAGAATTATGCAAGTAAAAAAGTCAATCCCAACAGGTTATATACTTTCTTTTCCATAACGGTTTTGAAATGGCAAAATTTGAGAAACAGGACACATTCATGGTTAGCAAGGATTAGGGTGGGGGTAGGAGGTGGGAGGGAGGCAGGTATGGTTATAAATGGACAGCAGGAAGGATCCCGCCATGTTGGAACTGTCCAGTGTCTTGCTTGTGGTGGAAACAGGAATCTGCAAGGGCATTAAGACGTACAGAACTTACAAAAACACACACGCACAAGTGAAGCTCAAGAAATCTGAATTGGAGCAACAAGTCCCATCAATGTCGCTCTTCCGGTTGAGACACTATACTGTGCTTTCACAAAATGTTACCATTAGGGGAAACTGGGAGAAGGGTATGAGGAATCTGCATTATTTCCAACATCTGCATGTAAATTCACAATCACTTCAATTTAAAAAGTCGTGTTTTTTTTTTAAACAAAAATAAAGAACAAAACCTATTACAAGCTCATTTCCATAAAACAAAACCACACACAAAAGTATATGTTTATGTGTGTACATGTTACGTGTGTCTAACTATATAAGCCCATAGAAAACAAGTTATAGATGTAGAAGAGCCCAAAGTTTTCTAGCGTGTTCTCTCTGGGGAGGAGGGCTCTGTACCTACCATGTACTCAGCAAGCACTACTGTACACAGACACACAAAAGAAAACCAAAGAAAGTAGGGTCTAAGATGAAGCAATCTATCTAAAGTCACACATAAGTGATGGAGCAAGAAGTCAAAGCTCATACGACCCTTCCGCAATTCCATATTGCCTCTGAAACACAGGCAACTCGACTGCCATAAAATGACAACAGAAGAAAAGAAACCATTCCTCTGGGGGCTCTGAGGTTTTCAACTTTCTAGAAACCCTTTATAACAGAAACCTAAATCGTTTAAATAATGGCATTTAAAGTGGGGAGGAATGACAGGATAATACATACAGTGCAATATCATATATTGAAAAAGACAACCCATAAACAAGTGTTTCTATGTGTATATGTTTAAGTATGCAAATGCACAGACCTTGCAGAACATGTACCATCTCTGAGAACCAAGGTGAAAGAAGAGTGCTGGTCAAGGGGTATCTGGACTTCAATCACAGTGTTAGAATTTGAGAACGCATTCCAATTCAAGTATAATTTGTGTCTTTATTTTTTTTTAGGAAGGGGGAAAAATAAAGCAAACACTTACTGCATTCATAGATCTGTTCCAGCTTATCCACAGAAGAAAGGGAGAAAAATTTATAACCGGACTTACTACCAACAGCTAGGGACCTGCAAAAAAGCCAAATCAGAAATAAGAGCTGATACGTGTAGACAGTGATAATGCACAAACTAGCTCCATGTTACCAAATAGTAACCATCCTTTCTACCAAAAATTAGGACAAATAAATTCACAGTTTGTAGCAGGTGAGTGGTGGCTGAGCAGAAGAGGGGAAAGTGGCAGAGCAAGGTGCCCCACCTTGCAGCCATGAAAATGGGAAGACCAATAAAATACAGACAATATTCTTATTTAAAACCTACAAAATATTAAAGATAAATTGGACAAATAAACAGAAGTAATCAAACCTAAGTTAATGACCCCCTTAGAACAAAGTGGAGTTTCTTAAGTGATCTGATATATGTATGAGTCCAAAAGCTAAATAAGTTGACACACCAAACTTTAAACAAAGACATTTACAGCCTAGTAGATGATGACATTCCTCTGCCTTCTGCCAAGGCCACAGCAAATGCAGCTCAATCACCTATGTTACACTATGGCCGGGCAGTGGGGTGGAAATAAAACAGAACCAAAAAACTAACTTAGAATCTGGTATCAGAAGACTACACAGCTGACCTACAAAGAAAAGGTGAAGCCACTCACACCCAACACCAGCACCATGGCTTTTGCTAAGAGGCCTGAAGGGGAGCCCTGGGACACAGAATGAAGTATTTCCTCATTAGAAGATTACTACTCTCTGGAATGTGACTAACCACAGGGGGAAAAAAAAGAAGAGGAAAGCACAGCTTTGAGAAAGAGGACAAGCAAATAAAACAGGAAGCATGGGACATGAGGAAGTAGCTACAGGAACTGTTGTGAATTCAATATCTGGGAGGACATGAAAACAAGTGGAGGCAGAAGACTAGAAATAATGAACACTGATTTTTTTTTTAAAGATTTTATTTATTTATTCATGAGTATACACAGAGAGGAGAGAGAGAGAGAGGCAGAGACACAGGCAGAGGGAGAAGCAGGCTTCACGCAGGGAGCCTGACGTGGGACTCGATCCAGGGTCTCCAGGATCACACCCCGGGCTGCAGGCAGCACTAAACCGCTGAGCCACCGGGGCTGCCCAACACTGATGTTTCTTACTGGGAGTATCTGCACACCAAAGTAAAAATTAGGGTTCCTCTCATGGTCATCTCATCTATTAAAAACTTGAAATTTCTAACCTCTCTTTCGCCAATATGCAAAAGAAATATATTCAAAGAATGGAGCTGCTACAAGCACTATTAAATTTTTAAGCTGTTGGAGCACCTGGGTGGCTCAGGAGGTTAAGCATATGCCTTTGGCTCAGGTCATGATCCCGAAGTCCTGGGACGGAGTCTCATGTCTGGCTCCCTACTTAGTAGGGAAGCCTGCTTCTCCCTCCCTCTGCCTCTCCCTGCCTTGCTCCCACTTTCTTTCTCTCAAATAAAATATTTAAAAAACAAAACAAAACATTTTTAAGTTCTAACTGGCTCATCTTAGACATTTAAACAGAAACAAAATTTTCTAACAGCACTTTTTAGGGGACAAAAATACCTCACTATACTGAATTAATTACATCAATGAAGTAATTAGGTATTATTACCTGTAAATATTTTGAAAAGCAATAAAGGAGCCAATAAAAATAGAAGAATATCCAGAAAAACTAAAAATAAGGCAAAATCTCAGCAATTTATGACTTTTAGGAATTTGGTGTTTGGGAAAATGTTTTCCAAAAAAATAATGGGTGCTATTTTAAGCACCAATACCTTTTCCCTCACCATTTCTGATTAAAAAATGAAAAAGTGTTTTATTATATGCTTTTTTGTGTTCTTATCACTAGGGGGTGGGAAATTCTTAACATTTTCTTGGACTCCCATCATTAAACTTACTATACTATTATAATACATTGACCCCCCTCAGATGCTCCCAAAGGTTTTGTGTACTGACCTCAAATGCCCAGACTGTAGTGCTGAGGCTTTATTTTTTTTTAATTATTAAAGATTTATTTATTTATTCATTTGAGACAGAGCAAAAGTGAGGACGAGCAGGGGGGAGAGGCAGAGGAAGAAGTAGATTCCCTGCTGAACAGGGAGCCTGATATAGGGCTCAATCTCAGGACTGTGAGATCATGACCTGAGCCGAAGGCAGATGCTTAACTGACGGAGCCATCTACACACCCCAGTGCAGCATTTCCAAAAACATATTCCACCTTTTGTTTTGCTGACAGGTGTCATTGCCTTGTAACCCTCCCCCCAACATTAACAGCCCCTCTCTCTTGCTAATTTCTTGTTGATTTAGGAACCAAACCACCAAGCTAATTGGCATTATATATAAAACAAGCTTAGAGGAGGGCTTCTTCCATGGGCAAAGTGAATGAGCTTTAATTAGTTAATGAGAACCTGGATTTTGATGTTGTGCTCCTAACAGAAGAAGCTGTCAAAACGAGGCGTTGGTGACCAAACAGCAGAATCTTCATGTTTTTACAGATATTCAGTAACTGGCTTTGGATATTAAACACCTCAGCTAGAATTTTAATTGCATGGTTTACAAAACCTCAATCAGTAAGAAATGCAAACAAAAATATTCCAATTATTTTTGATAGGTATATATGGTAATAATATAAGTATATACTTTATCAATAAAAGTAGGTGTTTTTAAAGGGTGATAACACTAGCAATCAGGTTCATATATCTCTCTTTGGGGATTGATCCTGCTTTTTAATATTTTCTCACGATATGCCTGACCACACAATGGCAGACACATTAAAGGAACAGGTGGAGTAACAGGTAAGTTTGATATTCCCTTATTAAATAATCTTATTCCCCAATTGTTTGTGTGGTTGGTTTTTATTTAAAGTAACACAGTGAGATCTTTTACTGACAAGGGAAAAACCAGCTCACTGTAATAGAAAAAAAGGATATATTTACTCAACCCCACATTTCACTACTATACCCCTGCCTTCAACTGCGCCAGGTGTCAAAATCCAGAGACCCTGTTATACATTCTGGAGACAAGATCCATGTCCTTTGCCAGGATGGGAGAGTGAGTGCTTCTGAAACATGTTTTGGGCCGATCCTTTTTTTTTTTTTTAAAGATTTTATTTATTTATTCATGAGAGATGCAGAGAGAGAGAGAGAGAGAGAGAGAGAGGCAGAGACACAGGCAGAGGGAGAAGCAGGCTCCATGCAGGGAGCCTGATGTGGGACTCGATCCAGGGACACCAGGATCACGCCCTGGGCTGAAGGCAGGCACTAAACTGCTGAGCCACCCAGGGATCCCCTGGGCCGATCCTCTTTATCTTCATTCCACACCCACCTTTATTCCACTTCTAGAACTTCCCTAGACTGCCAATCCTGAGCCTTTCAGGGATTCTGAGTTTAAACCAGGTTGGCTCTCTGCTTTCTCCACTAGCAATTCGAGATCCACTTTCCTGTACTGCTTGCTAACTTCCAAAATTTTGTTGCTAGTGACTCCTCTCTCATTCTCCCTATCCTGTGGGTTTCAACCTTCTAAAATATCTTTGGTATTTTACTGACTGACATTTTAGTAGGGTTTCGGGAGGGAGCCAAAATAAATGCTTGTGTTTGATCCACCATCTTCAACTGCAAGTCTGTCAATGAATTTAAACTTGAGCGTTACAATATCTAAAAAAAAAACGGTGATTTCCATTAAAAACAAAATAAAAAACCACCCCAAAATGTAAATCAGATCTCTTTCTTAGCTTTTTCCTTTTCTTTGCCCTCTCACCAATAATTAGTCCCGACAAGCTTTTCCTTTCCATTATCTTCCTACTTGACTAGAGGGGTAAGTGGCATCAGTCCTTACCCACAAAAAGGGAACGAGCTGAACTGCTGAGACCTGGGAGACCCGGGGGGGCCTATCCAGTAAATTTCCCATCACAGCAGGCTCTTTCCCTTCAGCCTATAGCATTTCCATCCTAGGTCTCCACCTGGATGGCCCTACAGCCTTAAAACTCCACAGGAGCCAAAGCAGATTTCATCTTTTGCCCCCAAACCTAATCTTCCTCTCATCTTTCCCCCATAAAGGAATCACTGTTCACCCCCAAATTCAGAGTTTTGGGAGTAATCACCCACGTCCCACGGGTCACACCAAGTCCTAAAAGCTGACCAGTCTCCTCTCCATGGGCCACTGCTGCTGGACAATATCCTCCTGGGCGACTGTCCTGCCCTCCTCCAACATATCCTCTACCCAGCAAGCCGAATGACCTAAAACTTTTAAGGTTGGAGGATCCTTAAAGACGATCCACAATGAAGCCTCTCAATATACTGATGAGGAAAAAGTGGATGGAGAGAGGTGACTTCCCCAGAATAGTATCTGTAACCCAGAAGAAACTCAGTTAAACAAGCGTCTCCATCACTTTTCTGGACACTAACATCAATGCTACAAACAGAAGGCTTGGAAAATCAAGTTCCTTTCTTTCATCTATCTCTTTTGGAGATGTAGTTTCTTTTTTTTTTTAATTTTTATTTATTTATGATAGTCACACACACAGAGAGAGAGGGAGAGAGAGGCAGAGACACAGGCAGAGAGAGAAGCAGGCTCCATGCACCGGGAGCCCGACGTGGGATTCGATCCCGGGTCTCCAGGATCGCACCCTGGGCCAAAGGCAGGCGCCAAACCGCTGCGCCACCCAGGGATCCCTGGTGGAGGACTTTAATCCTTGACATTTCCAGTTAAGCAATACTCTGCCACTGATTAGTTTGTTAACTTCAATTTCAAAAGCCAACAATTAATTCCTTCAAGGTAAATCTTCCAAACCGTTACTTTCAGAAACTAGGATTGGAACTAACTAGTCAATAGGTAACAGAGATCAGCTATACCTGGTGCCTCTTTCACTGCTCTAGCTTTAAAAGAAAAAAAATGGTAAAAAAACAAAACTTCTTCATACTTTTGGGCTAAGAATCCTAGAAAAATGAGCACAATATTTGAAATCATATTGCCAGGACAAAAAGGCAGGACAGATATACCTTGGTATACAAAAGGAGTATCCTTTTATTAAGCATTACTGTATAATGTACATATATATTCTATCAAGTGAAATAGAATAGAAAAGGCTTCCAGACTTTCTCACTGAATACAGTGAATGTAGATCCCAGACCAGTAACTTCTGTCTTGTGAAAAACTGTGTTTCTCTATTAAGATAGTTTCTGGAGACAGGCAAGGGAGGCAAAGGGGGTAAACTCTGCACCCTCTCCTCAGGAATTCGTGTATTTCTTAAGACAGATTACAGCCATCTTAATTGATAAACTTCTGGTAAAATCCTATTTCTTAACAATTTATGTTTATACTATATCAAGGTCTCTGGAAAGTTCAAATTATGACACAGAAATCTCTTGAACTTCAGGACCCACTGAAAGTGGGAAACACGTGATTTCCAAGTGTGAAAAGGTCTAACTTCAGGCCAGACTGATATATTCCATTATATAAGAGATTTGGCAGCCTGTTTGAAAGAACAGCAAAAGAGAACTCATTCTCGCATTTCATTTCCTTTCAATATAAATGACAGGTAGTGAAAAACTGGAAAAAATGGCAGAAAATATTTTGGAAATTCACTAGTTTATACAAGACATAAAAAAAAAAATCACAGAACTACCATTTCTTACCAATCTCAAAGTACTAAGGGCTTAAAAACCAAATCACAGATGGCTTGAAATGCTCTATTTGGCTCCTGGAGACTATATCATATAGTCTCTTCCAATTACAACCATCGGGCAACAGGTTGTCCAAGATGTTTTTGTTTTACTGGTTTTTGGTCACACAGTACACTTATGTATTTTAATCTTTAAAGGTTGCTACAGTATGATTTCTAAATTCACTGTCCTCCCAATCCTACCTGAGTGGGGCAGGGTGGGAAGATCACTGCAAGAGAACTCAGTCCTGCCCCCGATCCACTATTAGCCAACTCTAAGATCCAGGTGAAGCTCTGGACCTTGTGAACTCCAGGTTCGGGGTCTGCAGCTGGAGCAGGGCATCCGCTTCCTTCCTACCCTCACTGCCATCCCACTGCTGGACCATCTGCACTGACCTCACAATTCTGGGGAAAGGGGCTGCTGAGCACCTGCTGCTTGCCGTTCCACAACTAACTTTTCCCTTAAAAAAAAAAAGCAAAAAAAAAACCTTTTTCTACTTTTCTGATTCCATTCAAGCCAGTAACAACTCAACCAACTACTTACTATGAAGCCAATGACCCATTCCTCCTCACTTACATCACTTCCTCTTACTCACTTCCCAAGATGGCTCTCCTCCCTTCCAGTCCCACAACTCCTTCTTCTCCAGAAATTTCATCTATTAACTATCCTCACCGGTCACCCCGATAGCCTCTGAGGAATGAGCTTCCAACCCACATGGGCTTTTGGACAGACAGTGCTCCGAATCCACGGGGTGGCATCAGTGGCTCCCCCTCTTCCCCTAAGGACGGCCCATTCCCCGAAGCACCCAGACTCCTCGAGTATTCCTGTCACATCCCCCTTGACTCAGTTTCTCCCCAGATCAGAGGCCATGATTATTGCTAAATCTGTTTCTTGCTCAGGCAGGACATCAAAGTTGCCTTCAAAAAAAAAAAAAAAAAAGGAAGAGCAAGACAAGAAGAAGAAAAGGAAAGAAGGGAAAGGGCCCCTAAGATGATAAGGGGACCAGGAGAAGGACCTGGGGGGGGGGAAGAGCGGGGGAACGGGGAAGAGGGCTGACGAAAAGAAGGGGAGGTGAGACAGAAGGAAGACACTCTCACCGCTCTGGAAGCGGCTGTGACAACAGGTCACGGCACAAAGTTCCGCCCCAACTTTGTGAAAAGGGAGGTCCCCCCAAAGGTAAAGCAACCATCCTTTCTGTCGGTGGCTGAGACAGCTCCCTGTCTCCATCACCGGCCTCGCCCAGAGGTCGCAGCCCCAGCGCGGCGCAGCGCAGCGCAGCGCAGCGCCCGGAGGGTCCCGAGGACAGCGCCCCTCCCTCCAGGCTCCGGGCCCGCCCCCGCCCGCCCGGGCCTCCGCCCCCAGGCTCCAGGCCCGACCTCGGGGCCGGCCCGGGCGGCGGGCTTCCACCTGCTTCAGCCCCAACCTCAGCCCCGCCCCCCCGCCCCCGGGCCCCGCGCCCCGGCCCCCGCCCCCCGCCCGGCCTTACGTGTTGTCCTGGTTGAAGTTGGCGAAGAGCAGCTGGCCGGCGCCGGCCTCGCCGCTCTGACTCGCCAGGTTCATGGTGGGCGCGGGGCGGGCGGGCCCGGCCAGGGGCTCGCGCGCGGGAGGGCGAGTCGGGTGAGCTCAGGGTCGGGGCCGGGCCCAGCTCGCCGCCTCGCGGGCCGCAGCTGGCTGCCCGGGGATCAACCGCCGCCTCATCCCGTGCCCGCTCTTGTTTATGCTCCGGAGCCGGGGCGGCCTGCGCGCCTGCGCGGCCCCGCCCCCCGGGGCACGGCCTCCCACGGCGCAGGCGTAGCGAGGAGGTCCCGCCTCTTCACCTCTGGCCGCGGCCTGGGGTTCCGGCGGAACGCGCGCACGCGTGGGGACGCGCGGGGGCGCGCCGGGCGGGGCTTGCGGGGGCACCGAGGGCGGCGCATGCGCATGCGAAAGGGTAAGGAGGCGCTCCGGGCACTTCATCGTGTTACCAATCAATATTCAAAGGGTTCGCCGTGTGCTAGTCGTTGTGCGGGATTTTTTTATGTACAGCATCTTATTTGATGCTTATGACAACTCTACTGAGACAATATTGTATTCCCATTTTGCAGATTTGAAAACTGAGGCTCGGAATACTACCCTATCGGCCAAGTGTTAGATCTGAGAACTGAAACCCGTTCTTGCTCAAAGCCCACACTTCCTGCGCCCCTGGCAAAGGAAACCACCTTCCATGTATTCATACCTTCAATAATATTTAGAAAAATAAAAATAAATAAAAATAAATAAAATAATAATATTTAGGAAGTACCTCCCATTTGAACTAAATAGGTGTCTTTCCCCTTACAGAAGTTGCAGTGGGGGAGATACTTAAACACAATTACAAGTCGGGGTACAAGAGAACATATAATGAGGTCACTCAACCTAGACTTGGACAGGGACTGTGCAGTCAGAGAAGGCTTCCTGGAGGAGGTGAGGCCTGAATTTTTTTAAAAAAGATTTTTATTTATTCACGAGAGACAGAGAGAGGCAGAGACACAGACAGAAGGAGAAGCAGACTCCCTGTGGGGAGCTGGATGCAGGACTAGCTCCCAGGATCCTGGGATCACGACCTGAGCCAAAGGCAAAAGCTCAACCTCTGAGCCATCCAGGAGTCCCGAGACCTGAAGTTTGAATAGTAAATAACCAACCCAAGGAGATGGAAGCATTCTGTATGGCAAAGGTCCGCAGATGAGAGTGTGTCCAGGGAATGCTCCGCTCAGTGTTGTTGAGCTCAGAGTGGGTCGGTGGACACAAGACAGATTTGACTTGTGAAATCGGAGGTGACCAAATCAAACAGGATGTTGTTAAGATACATTAAGCAAGAGACTGAACATTATCCCAAGAACAATGGGCTGCCATTGAAAATATTTAGGCAGGAGAATGGCACAATCAAATTTGTGGGTAACGAAGTTAATTCTAGCCACAGAGTCAAGAGTGCATTGAAAATCATTGACAAAAGAATGGCCTTTTCTATTGAAGGCGCTGGCTCTCCTACCTCACACCAAACTCAAAAAACTAGTTTGAGATGGATTGTAGATGTAAATGTGAAAGGTAAAAGACTAAACCTCTAGAAAAAAGCATGGGAAAATGCCTTTGGGGTAAATAAAGTGTTCTAAACAAGCACTTTAGAAAGTACTAAGCACAACATAAAACATTAATCTTCATCAAAATTAAAAACATGAGTGCTCATCCAGAGACCATTGCGAGACATCGAGGAGACAAGCCTCAGAATGGGGTACTTATACTTGAAATACATATATTTGCAACATGTTTTTTTGACAAAGGGCTTCTTTCCAGAATGTTAAAAGAATTTCTACAAATCAATAAGAAAAATACCAACTCTTTTTTTTTTTTCCTGGGCAAAATACTTGAGTACAGGCATTTCACAAAATAGCAAAATGGCTAATGAGCACCTGAGAACGTTATCATCATTACTATTCAATAAGGAAATGCAAATTAAGAGCAAATGAGATACTACAAGCATCTGTTAAAATCAAATAGAAACAGAGACCAGACTTGAAAATACTCTGAGTAGAGAAAACCAGTTTAGTCAGACAAGCGAAGCTTAATTTAGCTTATTTTGTAAGATGGGCAAAGCTAACTTGACCTGGGTCACTTCTTGCTAGTGCCTCTGAAAATCATAAGCAAAAAAGAAGTAGTTTCCCAAAATTGATAAGAGATAACTGCTAACCAATTCCTTTGCATTTAAGAAAATTCTAATAACCAATTGGCAGCCCATTGTTCTTGGGATAATGAATAGTCACTATAGAAGCTGCTGTATAATGATATGCTTCTGAGCCTCCTTCCATGTTTTGATTTCCATGCTTCTCATTTGCCAACTGTCTCTTTGGTGTGTACACAATAAACCTTTTCTAATCATTGGTTCAGTGATTTGTTGATTTTTGTTTTTTATTCTGAACTTTTTGACATACCATATTGGTTAAAATTAAAACAATTGAGCAAAGTGTAGACAATAACTGCAAAGCAATTGGAACTCTCATATACTGTGAGTAAATTCTAAGAATTCTAAGAATTTACTCACAGTATATGAGAGTAAATTCTAAATAAGAATTTAGAATAGAATTCTAAATTCTTAGATTCTTAGAATCAGGGCACCTGACTGGCTCAATCTGTAGAGCCTGCAACTCTGGATCTCAGGGTTCTGAATTTGAGCCCCATATTGGGGTGTAGAGATACTTAAAATATAAAATCTTTTATTTTTTAAAAGATTTTATTTATTTATTCATGAGACACACACACACAGAGAGAGAGAGAGAGAGAGAGAGAGAGAGAGAGAGGCAGAGACACAGACAGAGGGAGAAGCAGGCTTCATGCACCAGGAGCCTGACGTGGGATTCGATCCTGGGTCTCCAGGATCGCGCCCTGGGCCAAAGGCAGGCGCCAAACCGCTGTGCCACCCAGGGATCCCTGAAATCTTTAAAAAAAACAAATTGTTAGGGATACCTGGGTGCCTCAGTCGGTTGTGTCTTCCCTTGGTCAGGTCATGATCTCAGGGTCTTGGGATTGAGCCCCATGTTGGGCTCCCTGCTCAACGGGGAGTCTGCCTCTCCCTCTCCTTCTGCCCCTCCCCCCTCTCAAATTAATTAATTAATTAAAAAATTGTTAGAATCACTTTGGAAAACTATTTGACAGTATTTACTAAAGTTAAACATACACATTCCCTATGACTCAGACATTTTGCTCCTAGGTATATACTCAATAGTAATCAGTGCATATTTTCTTTTTTTTTTTAATTTTTAAAGCAATTTTATTTATTCGGCAGAGAGAGAGAGAGCGCACAAGCAGGGGAAGCCACAGAGGGAGAGAGGGAAGCAAACTCGCCGCTGAGCAGGAGATGTGGGGCTCCATTCCAGGACTCTGGGATCATGACCTGAGCCCAAGGCAGATGCTTGATGGACTGAGCCACACAAGCGCCCCAGTGCATGTTTTCCCCAAAAGATAGGTTTAGGAACACTCATAGCTGCTTTTCCATAATAATCCCAAACTGGAAATAACCCAAACGTTTATCTACAACAGAATGAATAAGCACATTGTGGTACATTCATGCCAAAGAATAATACAGAGCAATTGAAAGGCCATATACACGTGAATGAATCTTACAGATACAATATTGAGTGAAAAGAGCCAGATACCATATGAGAATATATACTGTATGAGACCATTTATATGAAGTCAAAACTAGGCAGAGTTGTGGTTCCCTCTGGTGGGGGATTGGTTGCAAGGGGCAAGAGAGAGCCGGCTGGAGTGCTGGAACTGATCTAGGTCTTGATTTTTGTGGTTGACTATATGGGTATATCACATGCGTACATGCTTAAATATACATATGTGGATGCCCATATAGCCCATCTCCAATCATGAAATCAAGGTATTGTGCAGGAGCAATGTCTTTAGTGGTTCTGTCTTTATCAGTTGGCACAGTTTCCTGTGGGCCATTATTTTTTTGCGCGGGGCGGGGAGGCATTATTTTTGAATAAAGGCACACAAAGAGGTATCTGATAGATCCTCCAGGTTTTAGACACAGTCCTCGACTTCATTTTGAAAAGCCACCAAATTTCCCCTTGCCTATCAGAATCTGTTATTTCATCCAAGATAATAACTTCATCTCACTCCATTGGTTCAGCCAATGAAGATCTCCAAATGGCCGGGGGTAGACTCAGTTTCCAATTTACCAGAATCATGACTCTGTTCCCTGACTAACAGGGGTCCTTTTGGTACTAGAATCTAAAAATCCAGGGAGCCCAGGGTTGTGTGAACGGAAACCAAAAATTTTTCAGTGGATTCTCAGCTGTGGTATGCAAGGATACACTACCACCTCTACTCTCAGTTGATGGCATGTACTGCATATTGTAGAATGCTATCTCAATCTCACAGGGTGTGGTCTCTTAGCGGGGGCCACAGCTAAACCTTCAGGAAGCCATTCTACCATCTGTGGGCAATAAGACATGTGATAAGGATGGTGAATTCCAAGGGCATGAGCCTACTGTCAAGCTTCCTTTACCTTGAGTAATTTATTGATCAGAAGAGATGTGGTATGACACCTGGATAACCTATTAAAAATGGTGACCTCCAAAGCATCTGCCTTCAGCTCAGGTCATGATCTTGGGGTCCTGGGATCGAGCTCATTGGGCTCCCTGCTCAGGGGGGAGCCTGCATCTCCCTCTCCATCTGCCCCTTTCCCCCAGCTGTGCTTATTCACACATGCTCTCTCTCTCTCTCCTTCCAAGTGAATAAATAAAATCTTTTTTTTTAAATGGTAACCTCCACACTTTCTCACATTCCCTATCCCTCTCCTTACTTTCTATTTCTAGATAGGATTTATCACTTTCCAGTGGACCACAAAACGCCCCCTCCTGTCTCATTCACTGTGTGTTCCCATTACCTAGAATAGTGGGAACTTCGTGCCTGAAGAGCTAAACTCTGGCCCCCATTCCTGGTGGCCAGAATGGGCTGGAGCAAAGGGCTGCTGCCCACTCACCCCATTTCTTTCTACTGCTCTACTACCTGGGTGGCATTGGGAACCACCGATGAGTGGTGCCAGAAGTAGGCTGGATTTGCGTCCAAGAGCTTGACCTATGTGTCATTCAGAAATGCACCCTCACGTCCCAGCTCACCTGGAGACATCATGAACTGACATTCCTGATGGCAGGTAGAGCCAGAAAGATGCCCCGGAACTTCTATCATCACCTCAGGAGTGCCCAGCTAACTGGCC